TCCGCCGCGCGCTGCCTCAGTTATCTATTTAGGGACCTCTCTTACCCCATCCACTAAAACACTTACATCCGACTGTAACAAGGTCCTCCGCAGTCTCCAACCCCCTACCACAACAGACAAATTCCTTTCCTTCCTCAGCCTGCCAATGGATCCCTAACTTCGCCCTCCTCATTAAACCACTATATGCTGCAGCCAAAGAAACTCCAAGAGGCCCCTTTACCTCGCCACTGTTCATAAGGCGTTTATGGCCCTTTGAGACACCCTGGTTTCTTCACCTCTCCTTTCACTCCCCAACCGAACATGTCTTTTCCACCTCTTCACTGATGAATGAAAGGGTGTTGCAACTGGACTTCTTGCACAACCCTTCAGCCCCAGCTACTGCCGAGTAGCCTTCCTGTCTAGACAGCTAAACGCTACGGTCCGGGGGTAGCAGTCCTGTCTGAGAGCTCTGGCAGCTGCCACCATACTCACAAAAAAGAATCCCTCAAATTCACCTTAGCATAGCCCCTGTCTATCTTCTCTTTTCACTGCCTAATGGACCTCCTGAGCCACTGCTCTCTCTCTCTCTCTTGAGCCATCAAGGGTTCATGAATTCCATTTACTTTTTGTTGAAAATCCTGATATCTCTCTCCGCTCCTCTCCTCCTCTCAATCCATCCACCTTACTTCCTCTGCCAACTGCTCTGTCTACTCCCTCTCACTCTTGTCCTCAAGTTGTCAAAACCCTAGCCTCTCCTCAACAAGCACTGTTCGATATACCTCTATCCAATCCTGATCATACTCTTTCTGTCAATGGCAGCTCAGTAGTTGGATCAGAAGGCTGTCACCAGGCAGTGTATGCAGTAGTTTCTCTGCCACCATTGAGGAGTCCTGTCTCCTGGAAGGTACCACATCCCAAAAGGCTGAGCTCATAGCCCTTACTCATGCCCTCACTCTCTCAAAGGGCCAATGAGTCAATATCTACACTGATTCCAAATATATTTTCCTTATTGCCCACTCTCACTCTGCCATCTGGAAAGAATGGGGCTTCCTCATTACTAAGGGCTCACCAGTCATTAATGCTACTCTTTTAACAAAACTCTTAGAGACCTTCTAGCTCCCAACAGAGGTCACTATAGTCCACTGCTGGAACCACCAGGGCTCAGCTAACCCAGTGGCGATCGGTAACCCCCTGGACAACATAGTAGCCCGTAGCCTCACACTTAAAGCCCCCCCAGCACTAGTCTTCTTCCTAACCTCTACAGCTAAACCTCTTTATTCCAACGAAGAACAGGCAGACCTCCTCTCATGCAGGGGAACAGCTGGGGAAAAGAGGTGAATTTTCCTCCATAACAAAATCACTCTCCCCAAACAACAGACCTCTGTGACAACAGGCCTCTGCCAGCCTCATAGAAGTTCACCAGTCTCTACACATTGGCCCAAAAGTGCTGTTCTACTTCTTTGAGCCCCTCTTTCATTATCCAGGACTCCACAAGGCCCTTCAGCATATACATTAGACATGCTCCACCTGCTCAACCATCAGCCCCCAAGGTGGCCTACACCCTTGGGTTGCCGCTCACCAACTCCATGGCCACCAACTAGGTGAGGACTGGCAGGTTGACTGTACTCATATGCCCAGACATAAAACCTTCCGATACCTTCTTACTGTAGTAGACACTTTTTCAGGTTAGAGTGAGGCCTTCCCTGCCTCAAAGGAGATGTTTGACAGAGTCACAACTGTTCTTCTGGAGCACATCATACTGCACTTCGGCCTTCTAACATCCACCCAGTCAAACAATGGGCTGGCCTTTACTTCCAGAGTCGTCTAACTGATCTCTGAATCCCTCAAAATCTCCTGGAAACTCCACATCCCTTATTGCCCCTAATCCCTGGGTAAAGTTGAAAGGGCCAATGACCTTCCAAAGGATCATCTCACCAAACTCTCCCTAGAGCTTCATCTCTCCTGGCCTGAGATCCTCCTCCTAGCCCTCACTTGCCTGCGTGTGACTCCCTGAAATCCCATGGCCCTAAGGCCATTTGAAATCCTATATGGCAGGCCCTTTCTCATTAACCGTGACCTCCCGGTCCGGACCTCCCTCTGCCCCCAGCATCGTACCTTCCTTATCTCTCTCTCCTCTGCTAGCTGCTCCGTGAACACACTGACTACATCCTCCCAACCCTCACTCAGTCTACCTTGGTCTTAGAGTGCTCACCAAGCCCTCTCCAGCCGAGTGACAGCGTGCTACTAAAAGAACTTCACCATCACTTTTTAGAACTTTGTTGGATGGGACCTCACACCATCATCCTCACCAACTCCACAGAGGCTAAGCTTTTGGGACAACCCTCTTGGTACCATGTCTCTCACCTCAAACAGAAACCGCCTTCCAGCCCCTGGAAGTCTCAGGTTTTCGGACCCACAGAACTTTGTCTCACCAGGTTTCCCCTGCAAACTCCTCATTCTCCTACCCCTCTCCTACCCCCGCCCCTGGGAGGGGCCTAATCTCTAGCCCCTTTTCACTGATATTTTTATATACAAGAGTCCTGGATGTCCACAGGTCACACCCACACCCATTTCCTGGCCACCAGGGACTGCCAACCACATGGCTGCCAGTCATGGGTCTCCATCCCCATCTCCTTTGCCAAAATGCACTTGGTCATCCAGGGATGGTTCAATCCGGCCCTTTGCTTTACCTTTGAACAGATCAAAGAATCCTGTTGCAATTGGTGGGTAAATACCTTTGGGGGTTGCCCTTACAGTATCTGCCGTATTCATGTCAAGCAACTAGAGTCCCACAACAAACTACAGGACACTTACCTCCTTACCACCAACAGACAAGGCCAGCTCTACCTCAATATCAAAGACCCTTGTTAAAAGGAGTCTGGGGAAAAGTCTATCCCTGGGCCACTAGTTCATCCCCATCAGGGGCCATCTGGATCTACCGGACTTACACCAGAGTAGTCCCCCAAACC